CCTTGGGGCTGTGCCCACTGCCCTGGGGAGCCTGGGCAGTGCCCAAACAGCCTCTGGGGGAAGAACCTTTGCCTGAGATCCAACCTGAGCCTGCCCTGACACAGCTCCAGCCATTCCCTGGCTGCTGTCCCTGGTCCCCCAGAGCAGAGCTCAGTCCCTGCCCCTCCTCTGCCCCTGCCCAGGAATTGGAACTGCACTGAGGTCTCCCCTCAGTCTCCTCCAGCTGAACACACCAAGTGCCCTCAGTGTCCTCACATGCCTTCAAATCAAGGCCCTTCCCCATCCTTGTTCCCTCCTTTGGACACTCTCTAATGACTCAATCCCTTCCTTACATTGCTCTCTGTGTGATGAGGTTCAAGACTGGATCAGAACAAGGGGTTTTGTCCATATATATTCTAAAAATATTCCTTTGAGTCTTTCCAAACATGAGCACTTGGAACCTGGTCACATTTTAGGTTTATTCTGTGCTTGCTGTCACCTGAAAGTCTCCCATCATCCCCAAGTGCATCCATGAGAAAAAGGTGACTGGAACATCCCTTGTCAGGGCAATCCAAGACCAAAGACCAAACCAAGACTCCGAGCAGATGGGCAGAACTGTGGATGTGGCACTTGAGGACATGGTTTACTGGTGAACATAATGGTGGTGCTGGGTTGATGATCTTCAAGGTCTTTTCCAACTATAATTTTCCTGTGATTATCTCAGGGAACCTTCAGGGCCTTTTCAGACAAATTAATCTCCACAATACCCCAGTACCTCATAATGTTCTGACGTTCATACACAGGGAGGCCAAGACAGAGACATGAACTGGCTTTGCTAAATCACAGCATGATCCTCACTGATGAGCTTAACAAAAATTGAAATTAAATAAAATAAGTCAAATGCTAAAAATCCCAACTCTGTCCACATTTAACTGCTGCACATTCCTCTCACCTCTTTTGACACGTTCACTTGAAAAGGTTCTTAATAAATCTGATTTTGCTCAGGCACAGAAAACCTAAAGACAGTTTGGAAAAGTGACTCATGTCCCATCACACTCATGGCAACTGTCACAGTGGGGGCTGAAGTGTTGGCAGGGAGCACATCTGGAATCTCTGCTCCTTCCCAGGTGACCTGGATGAATCTGAAAGATTCACACAAGACCAACATTTCCTATTAAAGAAATTCAGAGAGAACTTGGTTCAGATTAGAGGGGAAGTTTCGATTAGATATAGGGAAGGAATTGTTCCCTGTGAGGGTGGGGAGGCCCTGGCCCAGGTTGCCCAGAGAAGCTGTGGCTGCCCCATCCCTGGGAGTGTCCAAGGCCAGGATGGACGGGGCTTGGAGCAACCTGGGATAGTGGAAAGAGTCCCTGCCTATGGCAGGGGTGGAATGGGATGATCTCCCAAGTCCCTTCCAACTCAAGCCATTCCATGCTTCTATGATTCCAACTTCATAAAGAGCTTAAAAGGAATACACAGATAAACTGAATCACCCCTGCAGGCATCTGAGGGGGTTAAAAGCCAAGATGAGAGAGAGGATTCCTGCAGCATGTGAGGGTGGCCTGTGAGGAAGGTGGATTTGGAAGCACTGGAAGGGAAGGTGGGATGTTTAAAAATATCCCAGCAGGGAGAGGTAAGACTTGGCAGGTCCCTGAGGTTTGGACAGGAGGGTTATACCAAGGAAATGTAAGGAAGGTGTTGAGCCATTAGAGAGTGTCCAAAGGAGGCCACGAGGATGAGGAAGGACCTTGATTTGAAGGCGTGTGAGGACACTGAGGGCACTTGGTGTGTTCAGCTGGAGCAGAGGAGACTGAGGGGAGACCTCAGTGCAGTTCCAATTCCTGGGCAGGGGCAGAGGAGGGGCAGGGACTGAGCTCTGCTCTGGGGGGACCAGGGACAGCAGCCAGGGAATGGCTGGAGCTGTGTCAGGGCAGGCTCAGGTTGGATCTCAGGCAAAGGTTCTTCCCCCAGAGGCTGGTTGGGCACTGCCCAGGCTCCCCAGGGCAGTGGGCACAGCCCCAAGGCTGCCAGAGCTCCAGGAGGGTTTGGATGATCCTCTGGGGCACAGGGGGTGACTCTTGGGGCTGGGCCTGTGCAGGGCTGAGGGTTGGACTCCAGGATCCTTGGGGGTCCCTCCCAGCTCAGTGATTCTGTGGTAACCAAAGGAGCATTTCCTGGTGGGAAACACAAGCCCTGAACCTGTCTGACCGTGTCCTCCCTCCTGTCCCCTGCAGTGCACGCCCAGAAGCAGAACAGACAGACCTGCGTGCGGAAGAGCCTTATCTGCGCCTTCGCCATGGCCTTCATCATCAGCGTCATGCTGATCGCGGCCAACCAGATCCTGAGGAGCGGGATGGAGTAGCCCCTGGCCATGCCACTGTGACCCAAGCTGCCCATGCATGTGCATGCCCACCTGGGGGACCTCCCCCTGGCCCGACTCCACACGGCAAAGAGACACAGGCAGGCAAAGCACCACTCGAGCGGGAGCCCAGGCCAGCGGCGTAAACGTGTCTTGTGAATCAACCACATCCTTTTTGGCAGGGACATCAAAGGGCTGTCTTAATGCTTTAAAGGTTTTGTTTCCTAATGCAATAAAAAAACACCCCCCCACCACCCCCATGTAGAGGAGTCCCAAATTATTGCTTCAAAACAGCGATGGTGACTCGGAAGGGACTTGGATCCAGCAGCCTGTGTGGCAGTTTTGAGGAGGCACAGCCTCAGGACTTACTGCAGTGGGGCTGTCTTTGAACCAGGGGCCCACTGACTATCCCACTGGGCCCACATTCCCAGGAAGTTGATCGTAGCATTGCCACAAGCAAGTCCCATTTGTTTGATTTCACCTCCTCCAGCTCCACTTTCTTTTCCCTTATGACCATGCCATGGAGTTCACGGCATCAGAGGGGAGCCAGAGCATCTTGTACAGTATTTTCTGAGGAAAAAAAAAAAGGAGAATTCGCCAGCATCACACAAAATGTCTATTTTTTGCTTCCTAAACACAAGACTGGAGGTAGTAGGAGTCTGTTTGCCATTTATTCCCGACTGTGAATCAGGGCTTGAGAAGCACCACCCGTTTTTCACACATGGGCATTGGTGAGACTTGTGCACAGTCTTCCAACCGACTCTGCAACCACCAGCACAGCTCCAACTCCCTCTATCTGGTCCTGTCTGCATATTCAACATTTCCTCCCCAGCAGTTCTGCCTTTCTTCGATATTAACCTTCAAGAACCTTATTCAAGATGAAAATCCCGAGGGAAGCTCTTTCTGGGCTTTCCTTCCCTCTCCTCGCCTGGGCAACTTTTATTTCTTTCATTTCACACGCCCTGGTTGGAATCTGCAGTGAAAGCTCCGTGTCAGACATCCTGTGGGAGAGGTTCCATTTCCCCTCACGCTGCAGAGTGTGGGTTTGACCATCCAGCTGCTCTGGTGCCTCCCAGGAGCCGTCCCAGCACCACCACCTCCGTCCCTTGGGCAGGTTCCAAAGAGGACAAGAGGAAAAGGAGAAGAATGATCCAAACCAGAGCCCACCACCGTGTGTTCCGAGGTGTGTCAGACTTTCAGATCCTGTGAGTGTTTGTCAGCTCCCCTGGAGGAGATTTTAAGGAGCAGCAAGGAGAAGATGGAGCGATGCAGACTGGAGACACGAGCACTGGGCGAGCCTGGAGCCAGGATTGCAGCAGTGAGGATTTTTCCTTTTCAGCTCGACACAAATCCTTGCATTTGCCTTTGGATGAACTGGGTGTCACACCGGGACACATCCGATTCCTTGCCCCGGTGGAAGAGGTTTCCCAGCTGGTGCTCATGGAGCGCTCCCAGGGAGGTCCATGGAGTTGGAGCTGAGTTGTTGTTCCGGCTGGGAAAGCTCCAGAGCTCCAAGGAACAGTGAGATCTTGCTCCTGTAAATGTAGGTGACTGTTTCCTGTGCCACAGGAGGGGCAGGATGGCTCCCCAGGGGATTGCAAACCACCAGCTTCCCCCATCCTACACAGCAGCCATTGACTTAAACCTGGATCCATCCCAAAGACTCATTGCAGGTCGTTCTTTGGTGACAAGTTTGATTGATAACATTTAACCTGTATTTTCAGTAGCCTAATTTAAAAATCTGTTTCTTGTTGGTCTGTGTCCCATCAGCCCTTTTGAACACAAGTCAACCACCTCATCCCTGTCATTTCCCTGGTGTCCCCCTCCATCCCAAGGACAACAACCCCCTTTTCCAGAGCAGCTGAGGTTTTTATTCTGCCTTTCCCAAAAGCCCAACTTCTGCATTTCTGTTCTGCTGCGAGTAATTGAGGTGAACTGCAAAATATTCCCTAAAAAACTGGTTCTGTCTCCCAGAAGATGACGAGGTTTGTGTTTGCTGGAGGGCAGCAGCAGACTTCAAACCAGCAGCAGAATATCTTAGGGCAGCTCTGGCGTGGGATCTGCAGCGTTGGGGGGCCAAGGGACACTGGCTGAGCTGGACAGTGCAGATAATGAGCTTTGAGATCATCTGAAGGCAATTGTCATCACATTTTGAGGTCTCAGGGGTCTGTGGAGAGGTGGCAACAGTGAAAAAAAACCCTCTAAATATTACTTGTCAGTGAGTAATCCTTATTTTTTTCTCCTGGGGCTGTGCTGGAGGGAACATGGAGAGGTGGGGGTGGCTGGAGAGGTGGGCACTGACCCACTTCCCCCCTCAGCAATGGCAGAAACACGAGGGCTCTTTGCTGAGCCCACAAACACAACCTAAACCACAGACCAGGCATCTCCACCCCCTTCTCCCAGTGAACACCCAGCAGACTCCCACCATTGCATCTCCCTTAGGATGAGGTGACTGTCTGCATTCCTCCAAGCTTTCTGGAAGGCTCCATGATTTCCTCGTGCATGCTCCATAGAAACCATTGTAAATACAGCCATTCTTCACCCTGAAGCTCCATTTGTAAAACCAAACCTAGAACTAATACCTTGGTAAAAGCCATAGCCTGGTGTCAGTAGAGTTCATTGCACAACTCCCCACTGATTTCACTGGGTACAGGATTTTTGGGGGGGGTGGGAGGGGTTTGGGGGCGATTTTTCTGTAGGGAAACTAATTTATCTGTTAGGAATCAGTGTCATGTCTTGCCAGAGGTCTTCTTTTCCTTCCTAGATCAACCTTTCATCTATGGGCATCTTGAAGAGATCCCTTCTTGAGTCAGTGAGGCTCCACTGGCAATTCAGGATGGATCAGGCGAAGCTCTTTCATCCTTTCCTCTCCCCAAAACCTTCCCATCCTTCCTAACCAGCAGCACTGGACCTCTGTCTCCTCCCAACCTCCCTGGTTCTATTTATGTAACATCCATTTATCTTTTTTTTTTTTCTTCTTCTACATGAGAGAGGGGGGGGAAAAAAGGGCTTTTTGCTGCTTTTACAGACAGTAGGTAAAAATAGAGCAGTAAAATTTTGATTGGAACCTGATGGCAAAAGCTTAGGGGGAAGAAAGTGGAAGAATCAAAGACATAAAAATAAAAAACCCCACATCCCATACTTGAAGAAAAAAAACCACACCTATTTAAGTGCTAATTAACATACTTTAAAAAATACCCAGACTGCAGCGAGGCAGAGCTGTCAGAAAAAGCACTAAACTTCTGCTCTTGCCTGTTACAGGAGAATTTAAGTGTCTTTTCAGCACTGCAATTCTGGAGGAAAAGGAGATTGCCATGGCAACCGCGGCTGTTCGTGACATGTGAGCACCGTGTCGGAGCGGCAGAGCTGTCCCGGCCCTGCTCCCCGAGCAGGGATGGACAAACGGCTCCCAGAAACCTGGACACGCGTTTTGCTCCTGGATTAGGGAATCATCGGGAAATCGTGACCAGCTCTGCAGCTTCTCCCGAGGGGCAGCTCCGATCCCTGCTCGGTGTGAGCAGCGACAGGACCTGAGGGAGGGGCTGGAGCTGTGCCAGGGCAGCTTTGGGCACCAAAACAAAAGGAAGATCTGAAGCCATCAGAGAGTGTCCAAAGGAGGGAACGAGGGTGGGGAAGGGCCTTGATTTGAAGGTGTGTGAGGACACTGAGGGCACTTGAGGAGACTGAGGGGAGACCTCAGTGCAGTTCCAATTCCTGGGCAGGGGCAGAGGAGGGGCAGGGACTGAGCTCTGCTCTGGGGGACCAGGGACAGCAGCCAGGGAATGGCTGGAGCTGGGTCAGGGCAGGCTCAGGTTGGATCTCAGGCAAAGGTTCTTCCCCCAGAGGCTGGTTGGGCACTGCCCAGGCTCCCCAGGGCAGTGGGCACAGCCCCAAGGCTGCCAGAGCTCAGGGAGGGTTTGGCTGATCCTCTGGGGCACAGGGGGTGACTCTTGGGGCTGGGCCTGTGCAGGGCTGAGGGTTGGACTGATGATCCTTGGGGGTCCCTTCCAACTCAGGATATCCCATGAGTATGATTCTCTAAACTCTCTTGGCTTGGCTCGGCTTGGGAAGGCTTGGAGAGGGATGTGGTTGTTTTAACTTGAGAGAGGCCTTTGGTTTGCTCAGGAGTGAGGGAAATCAATGCAGCCTGAGCTCTGCTCCACACAGGCTTGGAGAGGACACTTTGGGTGGTTTCTCCATGCAGGGATTGATCTCTGATGGAAGGGTTTGCTTGTTCCTGCTGGGACATCACTGGGCTGTGCCACTGATAACCACTAACTTTGGCTTTGAGGGCACACCCTCATTCCCTGCTCCTGGAGAAGCCAGAGGGGGGAACAGCAGGCACATGACATGTAATCAAATGACAGCAGGCACATGACTGAAATAATTTGGAGACCAGGGAGAAGAGAATTTCAGCAAAAAGAACTTTTCTCCCCTGTCAGGTCCACAGCCACACCTTAGGGGCAGCCATGAAGAAAACCAGGACGAGATTCCAGGCAGGATATTGGGGTTGTCCTGTGCAGGGCCAGGAGCTGGATTTGGTGGTCCTTGTGGGTCCCTTCCAACTCAGAATATTCTGTTTCTGTGTTTCCATGATGGTGGTGGTGGCCCTGGGGACCAGGCTCCTGCTGTGCCACCCAAGGATCTCGTTGGAGCCTGATCCTCTCCACGAGTCCAACCACTGAGAAGTCACTTCTGATCAGGAGCAACATCAACAGGGATGTAAAGAATCAAACAGGGTGGGCAACTGGGAAGACTTGGCTTTGTTAGGGAGAACCTGGTCCTCCTGCTGGGGGAGGTGGTGGAGGATGAAGGAGAGTTGACAAAGTCACGTCTGACAGGGACACAGAAACCTGCCAGTTCCTGGCAGGAGACACCCTGAGCTGGGGAAGGTGGTCACAGACCTTCAAGGTTCACAGACCTTCAAGGTTGACACACCCCCAGGACAGGGGTCACCTGGAGCAGAAGAGCTGAACATCTGGGTGTCATCTGGTGATTTGGAGAGATTTTTTAATCCAGAGGTTTTTGGGAGCTCCCGTGTTGGACCTGGTGCCCTGGGAGGGCTGGATGTTGGTTGCTCTCCACGGGAGACTTCCAGAAACTTTGTAAAAAGGATTTGTACATGGATACCCAGCTTTTTTACCCAGATGGGGCCAAGTAAACAGGGTTTTAAGTCCAAAACCAGGGCAGCAAGCAAGGAAATCAAGCAAGGGTGGAAAGCTTTGAATGGCTGAGGTGTGTTTGGATCAGCAAAGCATCCGCTGGCAAATCCTTCTTTTTCCATGGAAAGCACAGGAATATTTTATCACGAAAAACACTTGGCCTGTTGCAAAGACCAAACCATCTCCTGGGAATGCTTTTCCCGTGGAAAACTCCCCCCCTCTCCTGGTGTGCACGTGCCCAGAGCAGGCAGAGCTGTCACCACACACCCAGAGAGGAGCTCAGGCCCCAGGCAGGCTCAGCTCTGCCAGGAGAAGGAGCAGTAGGAGGAATACATTAAACTCCCTAAGAATGAGGTTCCTTATTTTATCCACCCATGTAATAAATTATTTAGTTTCTGCTTTATGGATGACTATTTGAAAGGAGAAAAACCAACTCTTCTAAAATGGGAATCTGATGAAGCCTCTTTTTTTTTCTTGGCTCTGATTCACGCTCGTGCTCCGCAGATGAAGATGTACAGAACTTGCTGGGTTTCAATCTATTATTTTACTGTACTGTGCTCTGACAGTGCAATTACATCTCCCTGGCATCACTTAAAACCTTTTACTTCCCCAGGAATTTAATGCAGAGAAAGAAGAAGTTCACAGCATTTTCACCTCTTTATGTTGTCAGTTGTTATCAGGGCTGGATGTTGTTCTCCGGTTCCAGAAGGACATTTTAGGCAGCTCTAGGAAGTGGAGAAGCTTCACCAAGAGCAAGATGGACAGAAAATCTAATTGGGAGCATTTTAATTGGAAGTTTGCTCCACTCACACCTCTCCAGTGGCAAAAGTCCGAAAAACTGCCTCAGTTTGGCACCTTCACTGAAATAATTTCAGCCCCAGAAGCAAGGAGGAGAGGGAGAAGGGAGGGAAAGGAAATCCTCTGGATCTAAACATCAGTACTGGACTATTTGATGATGAAAATATCGTAAGTTTTTTTTTTTATTTTCTGTCAGGACAGACCAAAATCCTTTGTAGCCTTGAAGAGTGTTGCTGAATGAAATTGCCATTTTCCATATACATATATATATATATAGGCATATATAGCATTATTTCCCAAAAGGTTTCTTTGCCAACACCACAAATAATCAGCTGTTTTAACAACACTTTAGGTGAGCTCCAGACTCCACCTTTCCTTTATCAGCTGGTCTTGTGTCTTCACCAGCCAACACGTGAAGGTTTGAGCTCCAGGAGCCACCCCTTGGCAGCCCTCAGGCACATCTTGTCTCTCCTGGGGGCAATTCCCAACCCCAAATTCCATGGGTTTGCATCATCAGGCCCCTGGGGGGGTCCAATTTTTGAACACCTGCCTCTGTGTTCCCCCTGCACCAGCCCAGGAATGGTGTTCCACCTCCAACCAGCTTTTTCAGAGGAGCCAAAGTTATTTCAGCTCTTGCTGGCTCACATTTGATGGGGTGGGGATGAAGAGAGATGAAGTTCCTCGTGGACTCCAGGGTAAATCAGAAATAACTCGTTAGAGTTAATTGGCTTAAACTGGAATAAGCCCAAAATCCAGCCTGTTGCCATTTAATCCATACAAGGATCTAAGTAATCAATGCCTCCTGATTCATCTCTAGGAAGTTCTCCACTAATCCATGTGTCTCCTTTATGTCAGCATTTCATGTTTCCGAGCCATTTACTGTTCATTTGTCAGCTGAAAGACATGGCATTTTAATTAAAGGCAACAATTCACAAAGTCAGCAGCATAATAGTAAAACAATTAAAAAAAAAAACAAAAACAAAAACAACGAGAAATCTTTGTACAAAAAAAGCTGTAAATATTAATATAAATTAACTTGGCATGCAACTGAAATAAATCTTATGGTATTGCAAGTTATCCAAGTGTATAAAGAAGTGTATAAAGGAAAACCGAGTGCCATACGTATCAGCTGTTCCCTCCAACCAAACTCTACTGTAAATATATAATCTGTATAAAAATATTTTAATTTTACCATTATTTATGCAATAGAAATAAAGGTTGGGTTTTTTTCCTTTTGATGAGGGATGGAGGTTTTTTTTCCCCCTCCTTTGATATTTATTCATGCCCGAGTTAGGGCGAGATTTGCATAAAATATTAGGACAGAGAGCCTTTATTCCTTCTGAACATGAACATTTGGGGGGGGGGGTTGTTTTGCTTTGAAAATAGATTTACATGTTTAGCACAGAAGGAGCTCCTGGCTGAGGAGGTGCCTTGGCTGGGTCGGTGTTTGGAGGGTGACCCAGAGCACAGGACTTGCTGCCACCCCAAAGGGAGGGACTGAACTTCTCCTCTGGAAGTCAGAGCCACCCCTGGTGGGGCTGGTGGGCACCACGGGAAGGTCCCAAAGGGAAAGGTCAGCCCACGCCATGGGCTGGTTTATGGCACTTGTCTAAAAGAATCAAAATGCCCCTTTTTAGT